GCAGCCCCTGGAAAGGGGCATCGTGCATGGTGAAGTAGAGGGTCACAGAGAAAGCCCCTCAGCAAGCTGGACTGACCTTGTGGCTGCAACCCTGAGCTCACCTCTAGTCAAGGGTGTGGGGCAGGTGAAGGCGCAGGCAGTGTTTCACCCGGTTGCTCGTGGGACCACTATGAGTCAGAAGCCACCATGTGGCACAGGCAACCACAGGTCCTTACTGGCACTGCTGCTAGTATTCAAGCAGTTCTCCAATGATGCAACGGAAGAGCTCAAAGTCAGACTACCCTGATCAGGAACACCAAATGCAAACACTCCCACCTTTATTAATAGCACTAGCATCTTTGAGGAGAAATATGGGCCTACTAATTTTAGTCACTGGTGGCATTTTTAATTGAGCTTGCAAAGGAGGGAGGAAGTACTCTTCTCATACACCCAATCACACCTCTTCTCCTAAATGTTAGAAATCTACCAAGCACTGTAAAAGATACAAAACCCCTCTTCTCTTCCATCACAGACTCAACTGTCATGTTCATCTTGAAAGGCGTCTTTTGTTGTTGTTTTTTTCCTAAAGCTTCTTAATACTCACTTGGCAAAAGCATTTCTTCTGTTAATCTCTTTTTGGGAAGAAGCAGCTGTTGTACTGAAACTTCTCCGAAAACCTATATATGGAAGTTAATGTTAGAAAGAGAACAGAGAAATCATAAGTTTGTAATCTTTACTACATGCTATCTTTTGTTATCTTTCCCCGTGGAGATATTCGAATGTACCAAACATAGGAGAAAATAGTTGCAGTCATGAGCCCCTCTAAACTAAACCAAATCGAACTGCCTTTTTCTCTTGAAGGGGGAGCTCGCGGATCACATCAGCCCGTGTGTAACTACCAGCCAGTTAGGAGGTGCAGACTGATGAGATGCGAACTTGAAACATGAGCTGTCACCTACCCCCACCATTAATAGCACAGTTCAGAAGACGACCAGACAGCAGATGGCGGCGAGCTTGCACAGAACCTTCCACACACTGCTGGTGGACCAGTAACGTGGTGCGGCCATGTGTGAAGCGGTAGCGTGCTTCCGGAATCAAACTAAGAGCACACATACCCCATGACTCAGCAATCCCTCACTTGGTGTAGATTCCAGAGAAACCAGAGCTTGTGAAACATATGTGCCTGCCCGTGTTCATCACAGAACTATGCAAACAACCGAACGCCCACTGCTGGAAGAACAGACACTCAACATTGGTGCACACACGTAGTGGGGTACGATGCGACCTTTACCGAGCATCACCGAATACGGATGAGTCTGCGAAGCAAACTGCGGCCCGCCGAGGACATTTATCCGGCCCGCCGGGTGTTTTTCCTCCTTTTGTTTTTTTACTTCAAAATAAGATAGGTGCAGTGTGCATAGGAATTTGTTCATAGTTTTCTTTTTTTTTTAAAACTATAGTCTGGCCCTCCAATAGGTCTGAGGGACAGTGAACTGGCCCCGTTTAAAAAGTTTGAGGACCCCTGACCTAGATGGTGCCGGACGGTATCACACTGGATAGAGTTAGTTGATCAGTAAGGGGCAAATACTGTGCGGGACCATTATTATAAAAAGTCAAGAAAAGGTTTTCCCATTAAAAGAAACTTCCCTTGATGGTTTTCAATGGTGAGAAGGGAAAAGGGGGAAGGGAAGTCATGGGTTGGGGAGTAGAGGATGTTAATTTGGATGAAGGGGAAGGCAATGTACAGCAAGAGTTGACACTGCTGTATACTCAATGCGGTTGTGGGCGAGTGGAAGTAGACCCATGAATAAATCTATACAGATCTGACAGAGGGCATCTGTACACATGTATTTGTCTTTGCTGTAAAAATATCCATGAATGTGATGGGCTAGGTTGCGAAAGCTTCTTAGACCTCACCAAACATCTTGAGGGAATGAGTTACTGGCCCTGGGGGGGATCAAGACCACAGTCTCATGGGTCACCAACTTCTGTTCTATAACGTAGTTCAAGAAGACCACGTTCTACCTCCTACTTTGGTGAGCAGCGACGGGGGTCTTAAAAGCTTGTGAGCGGCCATTACTGGTCTCTCCGCATCTAGAAGTAAGAAGAATGATGAACGTAGAAAGAGATGCGAAAATAACATCCAATGGACTCATGAACCACACAAACGCCGGCCCACACGACCTTAACTGCAGCATAACTCCATCGTGTCCACACAGATAAGATGGAACACAACCATGTGGAACTAAACTCAAAGTCACAGAAGAGACCCGACTTTTGGTGGTACACACAGGACACTCTCTTCGGGTGTGGGACTGAAACTCACCTCTGTATTGGAATAGTATGGGAATAATCAACCACCTAGGATCAAAGGGGGCCCATTCACCCAAGGACAAAGTTCGGTGGGTTAGGAAAAGCAGAGGAACGGAAGCAGGGGATGGGAAGTGGGAGAGGCTGACGGTGCATGGAGAGGGCTACAGCAGTGAACTGAATGGAAACAGAACACGTATGAATTGTTGAATGCAAAACAGATGACCTAGCCTGTCAACTCGCAATGTACAGGTAAAACATATACATGTGTGTGGTTGGATCAAGCAGAGTACATGCCGCTGAAAATGGGGTCCAAAAAGGCAAGGCTGTGAAAATGTGGAAGCAGCTTGAGAAGCAGAGTGGGAGACAAACCAAGCAGTAATCAGAGTTTCATAAGGAAAATGGAGGAGAAGAAATATTTGATATGAGTTTTACAGAATTGATCACAGGTACCAATTCCAAGAAGACCTATGATTTCTGAAAAAGGACAAGTAAAAGAACGCTCTACCTAGATGTAGCGGCACAGTGGAGCTACAGAAAGAAACAGAGGGCTTAAAGGGCCACCCAAAGGGAGAGACAGATCAACTTCAGCAGACTGGAGGTAGACTACAACCAGAACAAAGCCCAAAAAGGACAAGAAAAAAACCACATCCATTAAGTAGCGAAACGTTTTTGAATACACAGAAACCGAATCAGAGAGTACAAGTAAATCTGAATATGTCAGTAATTAGGAGAAAGGCAACTGGGCGAAGCATGTGTGTGTTAAAAGGCACATCGCCCGACCAGATTAAAGACAAAAGCAAACCCAAAATCCACTGCACTGAGTCGATTCCACCCCATAAGGACCCCACAGGGCAAGAGCACAACTGTGTATTTTATTTAGAAAATATTTCAAGAACACAAGGACTCCGACAGGTTAGAAGTCAAGGGATGGGAAATGCATTAGGCCAAGACAGTGAGCCAAGAGGGAGCTGATGTAAGGTGAGCAAGAATTATTGTATGAAAAGAGTCACCAAGCAACTCACAAGGAAGCAAATAATTCTAAACTCACGAGCATCTAAAAATGTAGTTGAAAGCATACAAAGCAAATGTTTCCAAGATCTCAAAAGAAAAACTGAAAAATGTGAGTGCTGTATGTTTCTCTCTCTAGTGACTGATGGATCAAGCAAATAAAAAGTTCACAAAAATCAAGTCAAGCCGAAAATTCACAAATCGCATAATTAATAAACTGGTTCTAAGATATATCTCAAGAATCACACCTAACCACTAGAGAATAGGCATGCTCTTCCAACACACAGAGGGGAAAGGAAGGAAGGAGAGGCAGTCTCCCTGCCTATTCTGTAAGGTTAGCAGGAGCGGACGGGGCCCTGGTGGCACAATGGTTAAGTACTTGACTGCTAACCGACACGTTGGTGGTTCGAACCCACCCGTTTCTGCAAGAAAAGAGAGGTGGCGACCTGTTTACATGTACATTTCAGCTTAGGAGACCCTGTCTTTCAAGGTCCCAGTGGGTCAAAATCAGTTTGCCGGTACAACAAAAATCACAAACTTGACATGAAACAAGACAAAGGCATTATACTAAGGAAAACAACTATAGATCCTTTTTACTATCCATTACAGATTTTGAAATCTTCATTTGAAATATCAGAAGACCAAATCAGCCATAATTTAAAATAAATAAATACAGAGAGAGTTAGACATAGATACAGATAGCACAACCAAATTAGGTTTGTCTGAAAAGTCCGAGGTTAATTTAATATAGAAAATCAAATAATATAATTTACTATATTAAAGTACTTAAAGCGGAAAACCATAAAAACATCTCTTTAGAGGCAGAAACAAAAGAATTCCCTCAAATTTGGTTCATGACTTTTTTTTAAGTCTTAGAAAAAAGTTAATAAAGGATATCAATCTAAAAAAAGCCTCATCGTATTTGCTGGTAGCATACGAACACTGCCCACTAACCAACCAGAGGAACACCCTTTGGCAAGCTTTGCCACTCCTGTGGCAAGCCAGCACACGGCAACACAGACAAGACACCGGGGCCAGAGCAGAAAATGAAAAAATAAATAACCTGACACTATTTGTATATGATATCATTATCAGCATTTTTAAAGCACGCAATAGAATGTATAGATAAAGTATGGGAATAAGAAGGTCTAAGAATCTTGTTGACTCTTTAAAAATTAATATTAAAAGGTTCATTACAAGACAACAGTAACAGTAATTTTTAAATGATCCCACTTATAATATCACTAACACCATAAAGTACTTAAGAATAAGTCTAGAAATACAAAGTTTTTTAAAACTATAAATACAAAGGCAAAGTTTTTCTGGAAAAAAATCATCTAAGCCTTCACCGAAGGTTATTACAGAGCACCTGCACAAACAGGCAGGGCACGTCTTCGGAAAGGAACAATTCTGAGATCGATCTTCCTCAAGGGCATCTGAAAACTCACTGCAGTTGCAACAAAGATCCCAAAAGGGTGTTCTGGAACTTAACAAGCCGCTTCCAAATGTATGTGGAAGAACAAAAGCCACGCAGAGCGAAGACGTTGCCAAAGAATCACAGCGAGGTCCGGTGTGTAGCTCGGAGGAAGTCTTAATCCACTCCATATCCAGGCTTTCTAGAAATCCATACTGATTAAGGGAGGTCCAGGGCATCAAAGAACAGACCACTGAGCAGAAGAGAGGGGCCAGACACGTAGCCGTGATACACGTTATTCGTGCCCGCGAGATGCAGATCCAGAGACGAGGCCCGGCCCTCGGACAGGTGGCTGTCCACATAGGAAGAAAGCGACATCATCCTCACCATCCACGAAATCCAACTGCACGCGGATCGACAACCGACGTCTGAGAAGCAAACTATACAACTTTGAGAAGGCAATAATAAAAGAATGTGTGTGACATCTATTTTTTGGGGAAAAGCTTTTATAAAACAAAAATACAAACTGTAAGGGATTGGATTGCTAATGCTGGTCTTAAAAATTAAGAATGCCTTAAAGAAAAACTCCAAACCGGACAACGATCCTTGCTACACCGAACACTGACACAACACTAGTCCCCACGGAACATCCGAGCTTCACGGCAACAGTATTCACGGAGCCAAGAGGTGGAAGCAGCCCAAGTGTCCCTCAACAGCTGGGTGGTTACACCAAATGTGGTGCACACAGAGGACACAAGCCTGCTGCTACCCAGCCAACTCCCACTTGTGCTCAGCCACCGACAGCACAAGGTAAGACTGGGCCAGGGAGTCTCAGAAACAGATGGGCTCATCTTGCTCCCGCGGAGTAGCTGGCAGGTTCACGTGCCAGCCTTCTAGTGAGTACCTCGGTGCTTACCCGGCTGCTCCACCAGGGCTCCTTCCACATCCGCACAATAGAACACGATTCGGCCAAAAGGAAAACCAACGTCCTCAAGTGCTACGGCAGAGATGAGCCTTAAAACCATGATACCGAGTAAGGCCAAAATCCTAAGGCCCTACTTCCAGGACAAACCGGAATGACAAACGTAGAGAAACAAAAGTACGTGGTTAGCAGGGACTGGGGAGAAGGGCGTGGTGATGTATTGCCCAAGGGGCCCTTGGTTTCTCTGTGAGGTGATGAGAAACTTCAGGAAATGGACAGCGGAGATGGCTGAACAGCGAGGTGGGTGTGCTGTGTCGCTGAATTCGACATCTGGCACTTCTTCGAATGGCATGTTCGCTGTATTCCGGCACCCAGGTTTGTAAAGGCAAGTTACTGACCCGCACGGTTTAAAAGATGCTTGGACCCCCGCTGTCTCATGGTGCCTCCACACGGACAAGATAAGGACACACTTTTTAGTAGATAATGGGCAGGGCATCTGAACAGGCAAGAAGAGGGAAACCTGTCTGGCCCATAGACGCGAAAACAGGCTCAAGCTCTTTTGCAGTGTGGACAACACAATGCCCAATCTCCGAGACGCACGGGCTGCAGCCACCGGGCCGGCTGGGGGAAGCTGCTCGACGGAGCAGTGCCAGCGATGGTGAGGGGAAGAGCAATCGACTCTTGGCCACCGCTGCTGGCTGTGGGCACGGCAAAGGGGTGGGCACCGCAGGGAAAGGTGGAAGAGACGGGCCCTCTGCCCGGGAACCTGGGAGATACATTTGCACCTGTGTCGCTGGACAGGTCTGGCACCAGTTTTCATCATAAAAAATAAGGCACCGCCCATATGCCTATCCGCTACCAAATGAATGGATACATGTTTTGACGTAGTGCTGAAAAACACTAAGGAGAAACACAGGCAAAACTAAGCATGTATTATTTGTGGATCAGTCTAGAAGGGGGTTTTGAAACTTTGTGGGGAGACATGGAAATTTCCCGTGAACTTTTTGAAGCCCCATCAACCATATGGGTGGGAGGGTGATCAAGAAAAGCAGAGAGTGAGTGATTAAAAATGCGAGCCTGTCGTCATGGGAGGCTGGGGTGTGTGAAGAAGACAGAGGTAGATGAAAGCAGGGGAGCAAACTCGGGTACTTTCACCCCCAGCCGGTTAGGGAGGGGGCAACGGATGTTGACTTCATGATTAGGTGCAGTGTACAGATCTAGTTCGTACAGTGGTCACATGCATAGCTATTTTACAATAAACGCTTGTAAATAAACAGAAGCAAAAGCAATAGTTATCAGGCATACAAAATGGTCATCTTACCAGGATAAGAATGATTCTGCTTATTCGATGAAATCTCCGACAGAGTATCCAGGGAATCTGTTAGTCTACGGACAGAACAAACACATGATGCACATCTCGTCAGACACAGCTGATCTTAAGAGTTAAGACTGGCTCTCAACTGGGGTCCTCACCCCGCTTGGTCGCTATCTGCTTCTCATTCATTCACCAAACCTCTGTTGAGCATGGAGCACGTACCCACCACGAGCTAGGAGTGCGCTTCCTCCTAATGGGGAGGGGGACCTTTGCTCTCAGGGACCATGAATACTGAAAAGAAGGTCGACGTAAAGTGAGTTCTCTTAAAAGAGAGGCCTAGGGTTAGTGCCTTGGTATTGTCTCTTTACAGATGAAACTTTAAAGAATAAGTTTATTCGGTATTATCCCTACCAAATGTTTGCTTTTCATTGTGAAAATACCCTAACTCTTTGAGTAAATGGGGAAGAAATGAGCCTGGACAGAAGATGATGAACCTGATGAACCTGGGTCAACATCCTTGACTTACTTGACTCAAAGCACAATCATGAACCCATTTTTCCCTGCTCACTGTTTCCCTTCAACTGTTAAGGAATCTCAACCTGTGAGCCTTCGCTTGTCAGTCACTCCCTCCAGCATGCCCTCTCGCCAGCACGGACTCCTGACATCCTTGTGGTATCTGCAGACTCACCCTGCAATTCGTGTGAATTCTTTTTACATGATACGCGGCTGGTGGAGGCAAAGACTATGGTTGGGTGAACAGGGCTGAGAGAATTAGGTGGTGAGAGAGAGTGGACGGGAACATAACTGCAAAACTGATCGGTTCCTTAGTGATAAGTACTAGTGATAAGGTGAGGAAATGAATGCTACCTTACTGAAGACAACCTGGGCAGTATACACTGGTGCTGCCACAGCGGTCAGGGTGCCTCGGATCTGCTCCGTGAGTGTGTTGCGTCCCTCTACATAAGACTACGTTAGAGGCGCGATTGACACTCATACAGAAACAGGGGGCAGGTGCACAATGGAGCGATGGAGGTAGTTGGGGGCACAATTTGAAACTGTCAGGAAAAGCCACCAGGACAAAAGGCCAGCTATAGACGCAAAGAGGAGGGACTGAGCAGCAAGGTGAGCTCGTGGCTGGTGGCTACTTCACTCACCTGTCCCTGGTTGCACATTCCTCCCTCTTAGACCTCCAATGCCGGTTTCGATGAGAGCCCACCCAAACCAGAGACTGTCTGTTTCATTTGCTTATAGAACGCTTAGCGCAGCACAAAGTGCTAAGTAAAAGATACTTAATAGTATTTGAGGATGAATGAGACAATCAGAACATGACGGAAGACAGCTGGATCGGGAGAGCAGTTCACTTGGAGACCGAGCCCTGTCTCTTGTAAGGGAGATGAGGGGGTGCTTTTAGATCAGCAGTTCTCAACCTGCGGGTCCCGACCCCTCTGGTGGGGTCAACCGACCCTTTCACAAGGGTCGCCTAAGACCATCGGAAAACATAACTGTAACAAAGTGACAGTGATGAAGTAGTAACGAAAATAATTTTATGGTTGGGGGTGGTCACCACATGAGGAACTGTATGAAAGGCTCGCGGCATGGGGAAGGTTGAGAACCCCTGCTTTAGATGAACCACCTTAAAGAAGATCAAATAGGAGAGAATAAACAAATAAATAAAGGCGTGCTCCACACACAGCAAGAAAGAGCAATGGAGCCACGGAGAACGGGCGTGTCTGCACAGCCTAAGAGAGAGCCCAGGGCCGTTCCGGCACACAGGGCACTGAACTGGACAGCAAGTTATCTGAACCCTCTTGACATATGTTCTCAGGGCAGTCCAACATGAAGAGGTGAGCCCAGCCCCCACAGCTGGGAGACAACACACCGCCTAAGAGATGGGTTGGGGGGGGCGTTAATGAAGATAGGCTGACGTGGGAGAACACAAGAAAGCTGACTGCCGACTCGGCATGGGCTCCCCCCTCCCCACCCCCTCCCACATCAGTGATTTATAAGATCAAGGTCCTAGAGAGAGTCACTGGGACTCTTTCCACGATTCCAGAGTGGGGGGGGAAGTGGGCACATTCAGATGCCAGACCCCCGACCTTGGTGGCTGTGCACCTTGGTATGAGCACCATCCACGCACAATTCTGCCCTGGGCCTGCCTTTCCTGTCCAGCCGTGGTGCTGGCTCGCTGCAGAGGGGCATGCGAGTTGCATGTCTATGGGGCGGTTCTGCGCCGTCCTCTGGGGTGGCCATGCACTCAACTGTGATGGCTATGGGGCTTTTTGTTTGTTTGTTATTGCATGTAAAGCACTTAAAGCTTGGTCCCGGCACAAGTGCCATTCATCGGCTATTATGTCTTTTTCTTTACATAAAGAAAAATGACCACAGGAAAGAGCAAAGTCAACTAAAACACATGGTGGGGTGGGGGACTTTAAAAAAAAACCAATGAAAATAGAGAAACTTGGGCTGAGGGAGTCCTTTAGCCAAGCTATTTTATCACTTAAAATGTTGCTTCTACATCTACAAGATGGAACTAATAATAATAAAACCTACCCTCGCTGTCTTCAGGAGATTAACAAAGAATTCCCTGCCCTCGAGTTTATTTCAATTCAGAGGGGCCCTGTAGGACGGTGTAGCACTGCCTCTGGGGATTTCTGTAACTCCTCACAGGGGTAGAAAGCTCTCTCTTTCTCCCAAGGAGCACCTGGTAGCTTTGAACTGCTGACCTTTCTGTTGGCAGCCCAATTTGTAACCACTATGCCACCAGGGGCTCCTCTTCAGCACATGAGCCAGGTAAACATACAAATCCCGTGGGATAGTCTTCTACTTAGTAAATGCTCAACAAATATTTGTCCAAGCTCCTGCTATTTTCCTCTTTGCCTGACTAGATCTTAGGATCCAATGAAGCAATGTGGAGATGAAGTCATGCCATGAATTATACAGCATTATACATCACAGGGAATGTTACCATCAATAAAAGAACCACATCCCATACATCATAGAACAAAATGAACACAAAAAAATGCATGCAATGATTTAATGAGAAAAATAACCCACGGAAGAAACTGGATCTGACACATAGTGACCTTTCCACGAGGCAGTAACAACCTCTACGGCACAAGGTTGCACTAAAAATATAAATAAATAAAATTATCTCAGGCGCCCTAGGAAATAAAACTCAAATATGAAGTTATAGAAAGTTAAAGAAAAAAATGCAACCAGGAATTTTGAAATTATGCTCATGAACCAGAGCAGAGAGCATCCAGTTCTAGCCAAGGTTTACTGGAAAGGAGCAAGAGGTCCCTGCATTAGATCTCTTTTCTGACCGTGAGATCTCTGTTCACGAATGTAATCTATCATCTGTCTTATGTCAAATGATCGACGGAGAAGCACACCAGACCAGCCTCAGCCAGTATCTGATGGAGGTCGGTTCAAGTAACGGAACCTAGGCCCTCAAGAGGACTGGGGGCTGCACCACTTACTATTATTATTATAATTTTAACACCAGAATGAACTAGTTCGAAAGTCTACTATCTTAAGAAGAGACACCAAGGAGGTACATGCTATATAAAACCTTGAAGCTTCACTTCCCCCCCAAATCTACTGCCTAACTATTTTTGAAAACTAAAGAAATCGGGGGGGAAAAGCCATTTTGGTTCCATTAGGTTTGTAGGAAAATGAATGGGGCGCCTGTTGGCAGGAGATTTAATGTAGTTAGGATGTGACTGAAGCAATCAGGGAGCATTTTTACTTTTGTTTGCATGACAGATGAAGCTTGCTGCTCTCACTGTTCTTAGCGGCAAACGCCACTTCTAATAGCCTACACATACTCACAGGGTTTGCAAATGAGGACTAAAGGAGGTTTTTAAAATTGCAAATCCTCAGCAAAGCAAATTTAGCTTTCCAGAGCCAGGGCGTTTCCCTGAAGAAGGTGGCGGGTTAACCCTTTCTAGGAGGGCTGGAGCCACAGTGAACACACGTCTCACCTAAACCACAGCAAATGACAAGAGGCAACTAATTACCCATCCCATTTTACTCACCTTTGCACTCTGGATGGGGGAGCAAATATTCCGTATCTTGGCGAACAACTAAAATACTGCACACCTCCAACTGAACCATCATTCTTGCCGTGGGGTTTTTCAAGCTCAATACCGTACCAATATCCTAGAACATGAAATATTGGCATTTAAAAGCATCTGCACTTTACCCAAAATTGTTATGCTCTTATATAAACCACGAGATTAAATGGTGTATCATTCTCCTAAATGACCGGAATGATGGAAGATCACCAAAATCATTTAGCTTTCAAATGATAAGATTACAAAAATAAAATTTGAAAAGTGAACAGGAAATAAATTTTACAAGCATAATTGCAGCATGGTACATGAAGGGAGGATAATAAAATGTACAAACACATACTCAGCAAACAGACCAACCAAAAAAAAATTGTTTTTTCCCTTGGGGTCTTGTTTTTCAGGCCCGTTCCTGGGGTTATTTGGGGTGCTTATTCAGAGAATTTCACTGGATAGGCCACATCAGCTCTAGTTGCTCAGATATATGGTGTTCCACTAGATTTTCAGCTATTAATCCAGACTAACTTATTAGTCTGAATTACTAATTTATTAACTTATCATTCTAGTTTTAAATATGATTAGAATTCAGACCCACAGTTGCAGGCTAAGACAAAAAAGATAAGAACTACGTGACAAAGAATGAGGCTTTAAGGGACGTCCAAGCGCAGCTGTGATGGCCCTGTGATGGGTGAGCGTGTTCCTGTGCCCAGATAGAGAAGTGGTGCTGTCTTGTAACAAGACTGGGACATTTTTCCTTTTAATAGACCCACTTTGGGTTTCAGAGCATTTGAATCTCTATTTATTGGACCACACTCACTATCAGACAGTCCATAGTTACTCATAGGGACCCCGTAGGGCAGAGTAGAAGCTTGTGTGGATTTCTGAGGCTGTACATCTTTACGGGGGCAGAAAGTCTCATCTTTCTCTCACAGAGCAGCTGGTGGGCTCGAACAGCTGACCTTGTGGTTTGTTGCCCAACACAGTTAACCCCCTACGCCATCAGGGCACCTTATCGAATGGACAGCAACTCTTATTTCTAATTCCTCTTTCAGATCACAAATTGGAACTGCCAGCGATGCTGTTCCTCAGAAATGTGAAGTGGTACTTGGGGAAAATTCCAAGTTCAGGTAATTTGCACAGTTCATATATATCTTTGGATCAAAGGACACCATGTGAAGGAAAACGTGGCCTAAATATTCAGTACAACACAAGCTGCTCTAAGTAAAGCCAGCATGCACGTCCTCTGGCTAACACTACATGAGACTGTCCTGACTTGTTGTGGGCTTGCACTAGGAGGAAAGGCGGGTGGCATATATAACTCCCT